CCGCGCGCACCTCTCCCGACACGCTCGCCTCGGGTTTTCTTTAAGCACTTTGCCCTCTTATTCTTGAACCCCACTTTCCTCCCCTGCCCGCCGCCGCCTGTCACGTGACACCCCCTCCCCCTGCTTGCCCCGCCCCCCTCGCACTGTCACTTCTAGCGCGTGGCTTGCACACTGGCTTCCCAGGAGCTCTTTCTCTCTCAATGCTCATCCCTCTCCTCCCCGCCGGGCTCCCGCTCCCTTCCCGCTTCCTCTTCCAAATCTCTGTCCATCCCCATCGGCTCTCCTGTGGACCCTCTCGCACACGCATTCTCCCGCATTCCCGCTGCGCTTCGGAAGCCCTTTTCTGTTCTTTAAGGATGCCGCCGCACACTGGCCTTGCCGCACACGCGTTCTTGAGTTTCGACTTGTTCTTGCCCGCTCCCGGGCGACTTTCTCCATCTCCCTTGAGGAACATTGCCTTTTGCACACGGGTCCCCTCCGCACTGCGGGGGCCCCCTCCGCACCCCCGGCCTGTCGGTTCCTGGCAGCTGTTTTCTGTCCAGTGACAGCTCCGCAGCCGCCGTCACTCTGCCGGTTCTCTTCCGTCTTCACGCGCTTCTCTCTCTCTGGCCGGAGGAGCCCCTGTCACACTCACTTCCCGCTCACCACGCGCCCGCTCCCGGCTCCAGGCTTTGCCCTCCTCTCGCTCTTCCCGGTCCTTCCTGGCCATCTGTCTTAACATTTTGCACGAAGACTGTCCCCGTCCCGTCCCCCCGCTCCCCAACCCTTCAGTCTCTCCAAGAAACTGCCCCCTCCAGCATGGCTGTTCCTTCCTGCACGCTCCCCCCCCTCCCTCTATCCCTGGGGCTTGGGAATTTCAAACCACCCCTTCCCCTGGGAAGCCCCCTCCCCTACTGTGGGTAAAGGGGGGAGGGCATCGCCCTCAGGTCCCCCATGTTCAGCTGCCAAAGAAGGGAGCTCCCCCTCCTCCCCCCAAGCCCATTCCCCCTCTGCTGCCCCCACCCCCGAGGGGGGGGGCTCCGTCCAAGGGGGGGAGGGTGCTTGCAGCCCTCTCCCCCTTACCACGTCAGGGATCTGCGGGGAACCTTGTGGGAGGGTCCTGGGAGGGGGGAGGGGTGTCAAGGAGGGGGTGGAGGTCGCGCTGGGCCCCTCCCCGCCCCCTCCCCCTTGTCCTTTGCCC